CTTCCAGCAGTTAAGTGGGACCAGAGGTCTCTGCTACTGAACTGTGATGGGTCCTGGCTGGCTGGCCCTTGTGTTCACCACTGTGCTGCTGCAAAGTGGAAATGCAGGGCTTCTCCCAGGCCTGCTCAGTGCTTCCACATGAAATCCTGGAGGATTTCATCCTGGAAATCCTGGAGGGGGGAAAGTAAAACACTGACCAAGGTCTTCCCTTTAAAAATGTTAGTAGTTCCTCCTCCTGGCCAAAACAATTTGTTTGCAGACATCCACAGTCAGAACTGTTGATGCTTTCAAGGTACATGAGACAATGTTCAGACCCAGCATGCCAAGGCAAGAGCCATGGATGGTAGATGCAAGAAGGACTCAGTGCCTCAGCTATCATAAATTTTCAGCTGGTCACTGCTCACAACTGCTCTCCACCCTAAGGCCCCAAAAAGGATGCAAGAAAGCAGCCTTCTCTGCAGGAGTGCTCTGCAGCTGGGGAAGCATGAGGTAGATACTCCAGTCTTGCAAGACTGAGCAATTAATCCCTAAAGAAACCCTTAAACAAACAAATGCAGGGAGGAGGAATAGATAGAAAAGCTTATGGAGTGCTAGGAGAACCCAGCTGCCAGGGGAATGGTTTCAGTCCATGTGTGCAAAAGTCTTCTTGTTTGGCATGATGCAAAGAAGCCATCCAGCATGATGGAGATCATTGTTCTCCTGGGTGGGTGGTGGGTTCCCAGCTCCTGCCACCAGCACCACGTAGTCAGGGCATCCAAAGCTACATCAGCAACAAAGGGGTCAGAGCAGCACTGGCCTACATTGGGTTACACATCCTGGGGAGCACATTCATGGGAGATGTTTTTTTCCCCTCTTGCTTTCTCCAAAAGGAGCAAATCAAGCCCATGAATACAGCCTGCATCTGGATCCTAGGTTGCTTTGAGGATCTGGCAGGCTGGCCAGGTTTGACCTCAGGAGCTGGCTCTGGCAGGTCTGCTGGTGCAGTTGGGTACACGGCCTGTCCAGAACATTCCATCCCTCTCAGCAGCAGTTCCCTGCAAAAAAACAAGACCTGGGACTTAGGGTGGATGAATAATTTTTTATTTTTAATTGGTACAATTTATCAAAAGTTGCTATTTTTAGTTAAATCTTGACTTTTTCAGTCCCCAAGCTGTCATGGTTGTTACTGTTGCCTTTACAGATTTTCTTCTATTTTTTTAATGGACATTTCAGTGGTTCCAGGGTCTCTCCCCACCTCTGCCTTTTCCATGACAAGCTCAAATGAGTGGGAAAAGGAAGAGGAAGGGATGCCTGAAAATCAGACTAAACATTTCTGGAATGTGTGAAGGTATGCACTGGGGAGTTTCATATATATATAGAGATAACAAAGCTGTGCTGACATGGATGTTTTCTAACTCTGGCTCTGACATGCAGTGCTTGACCCTTTGGGACAAACGAGGTCTCCCATCCTGTGCAGTGATTTGCTATTACCCTCCTCAAGATACCTGTGATGTTAGAGCCTATTTTTGTTTTATCTGCTCTCAGCATGTACTTTTTGAGCTATTTCAGCTTTCTTTCCCTTCCAGTGTTTACCCTAAGCACAGGCACTGGGTGTGCTGGCAGCCTGACAGTCCTGACCACTGACTACTTTGTCATTGTGTCCAGAAAGCCATAAATCAGCTGCCCAGTGATAAATGGAAATGCTGGGTGGGATTCCCCTTCTTCAAATAACCCAGACTCCTTTTGCACAGAAAATGCCAAGAGCTGGACTCCTTGTATGAGGCAGATAAAGCCAAAAGCTGCCAAGGACTACTCTCCTTGCCTTGACAAGTAGTGCTGTCCTTCAGGAGATGCATCAATTTGCTGATCAGCTTTTCCAGCATCCTCTGCAGCTGTTTCTGGGCAGAAAAAGGAGCTTGTTCTCCACAGCCTGCTCAGCCTTTGATTCCTCTGAAGATGCTGGTAAAAGGCTATTTTCCCTGTTTCATTTCTCTTCTGGTTCACCTCACTGTAAGCAGAGCTTACCAGAGGTTATGGAGCCTCAAATGCCTGTTGCCTCTGGTGTGCTGCAAGGTCCAAGAGCAAGGGCAGGCACCAGGGTTCCCCCAAGCCACCACAGTTGGATACCCACCCACACTGCAAGGCTGCAGTGTTCAAAGGTGTTTAGAGAATGGGATGAGCTTGGGTCTGGCCCTGGCTAGGGATGAGCAGCCATCCAGCAGCACCTGGCTGGGGCAGAGGGACCTGTCACTGACAGGGACTTCTGTGGTTGCTTTCCACGTGGCATGTGCAGCCCTGCCTGGAGAGCACAGCACACATGTCCACAGTAGATGGGCCACTGCTGCAAAGGACATCACACTCACGGTATCAGGGCAAAATATTGAAGGCTTAGAGATGCTATTTTGGCCTTGGGTTTATCCTCCAACAGTCCTCTTGCAGCCTCTTCCATGGAGCTGAGACTGGGGCCGGGTGGGCCACAAGGAAGAAGCAGAGGTAAGAACTCAGTTCTGTGTGAGTGGGAAGTAGCTGTGAGCGTGCAGCCTTGTCACCTGCCTGCTTTGGTCCTGTGCTACCCCAGTGCAGCCTCAGAGCCTCTGCTCTGCCACGTGGATTTGTCCAGCTGCCCTCCTCATTTCCAGCAGTGTCCCCACAGGGACATGGGCAGTGGTTTTCCCCTCCTACTGACTGGGAGTCAGGATCAGCCTTCTCACACTGGCAATACTGGTGTGAATGCTGGGATGTTCCTGCACTCTCTGTCTGTGTGTGTCCACGTTATGGTCAGTTCTGCCAGGACAAACAGCCTATTCTACCCTCAAACGTGTTAGCAAGTGCTGGGGCACCAGGGAGTGCATGGGAATACCCCTGCCCTCAGGGATCCAAGGGTCCTTGCACAGAGGACCACCTGGGGGGCAGAAGAGGGTTGCATGTGGGTGTATCCTCCTGGCCCAAGAGCTGCAGGAGAAAACCCACAGGGAGATTTGTGTGGATTTCCTTTTTCTTTCTCTCTCTTTATTTTTTTTTTTTTCCTGGTCGTCTTGTTCCTCTCTCCTGATTTACTGCATGTGCTCACGTGGCCTTGGAAAGGGGGGCTCTCCAACTGTTTTGCTTCCAAAAGGAAAAGAAGCTGGCAGGCTTTCGGATTGCAGTTCTTGAGTTATGTAGGTTAAAGCCTCCCAGTGGGAACACGGATGATATGAGAGAGCAGATCGCTGGAGGTGATACTTGCTGGAAGAAGAAGAGGAGAAAAGAGCATGTAACTCTAGAGCTGCATCCAGACGAGTGTGAGATTTGAGAGGTATGTTTTCTATCTGCTATTAGAACATACTTTCCATTGATTTGATTCAGCTTGTCCTAAAATGTTTCATTGTGTCTTAAGTAATAGTAGGAATGACTAGTTTGGAGGCGGCTTCTAAGCCACCAGTTGTTCATGTGCAGGGAGGGGGAGCTTGTTTGTCAATGAAACCTTGTTCTCAGGAATGGAGCTAAAATGAAGTATGGTGTGGTCCCTCTGTTAGGAGTAAGTCAGACACATAATCTTGGTGACTAGTTTTGAGATTTCAGCTTCTGTAGGTTAAAGTTCAGGACACAAGAGTTTAGGGTGAAATGGAACCCCAGACTCTCTCCTGAATCTTTGTCAGCCTGTTTGGTTACAGAATGTGGGCTTGTGATCAAGTATTTGGGACTTTAAACACCAGTACTCTGCAGAAATGTGCAGTAACATTTTTTTATTAATTTATAATCATTGAGACAATACAATGAAACTTCATTTTTTGTCAGTATGTTGAGAGTGGCATGTTGTATATTTTGCATGGAGCAAATTATAAGCTACACCAAACTGTTAATACAGAAAAATATGTTAGGAATGCTCAGTTACCTTGTGCTGATTGAGAGATCATTACCCAACTCTACTGTCTTGGTCAACATTTCTGTTATTATTAGGGCCCCTTGAGAATTCTGAAGTGCCTGACTGATTCTATAAGGAATTATTTAAAAAAGGAATTGTCTCTTTCTATTATGTAAAAGAAAATATTTGGGTATGAGATAATTTTTATTGACTATAAAGTCTCAAAGTTTGAAAAATGCCCTGCTAAGGGTGAAGACTTGAGATGATGGACTGGAACAAAGACAGAACTGTCAAGTAATTCTCCTGTTTTAGCTGGTTTGTATCTACATTTTCCCCCTGCTGAAACCCAGTCCTGGTCTTTCTAAATGTTTTGCAAATACTAGTTAAATCCAATGCCTGCAAGGACTGAGCACTTGACTGTCTGTTGCTGGTTTCTACATTGAAAATATTTATTTTACACTTGATTAAAAGCTGTCGTGAGGGCAGGAAATGCAGAGCTGCTTTGAGAAGGAATCTGACAGTAAACGACATTTTGCAAAGACCTTTCAGGGTCTTTGTATCCAGCCCAATGAATTAAACAAAAAGGCAAAGCTTGCTTTCCTCATATCCTTGTTAAAAAGCTGCTTTCAGGCCTGTGAAGTCTCAGGAGACCTTCAGGTGTGAAGTACCTGATCCCCACTGGCAAGTGCTGCCTTTCTACATTATTTCAACTGTGCAGAGTGCTGGAAATAGTATGAGAAAGCTGAGAAAAGGATCACAAGGAGCTTCAGTGCTGCCTTTGGGCACAGAAGTTCCCTGAATATCTCCAGCTCCTGAGTCAATAATCTTTCTGCTCTGCTGGCCACAGAAGGCACCGTCTGTAATCACGGATAAAACCCAGCTGCTTGCTTCTCTGCCAGGCTAATTAAAAAGTGCTGTGACCTCACTAGGGCTAATTGTGTCCTGTCAGTGGGACAGAGGAAAGGAGCCCAGCAGTGTTGCCTGGTAATTCAGCACTCAGCTTACTGAGAGAATTTTAAATGGTTTTTATTCTATGGTGACTATGATCCCAGAGCTAAGGTGGCTGCAGAGTGCACATCTGACACACAGTTTCTGATTTGCAGGTGAGCAAGGTGATAGAAAAGTGCTGCAAGCCCATGCAGTTCCTGCAGAAACCTCCCTTTCCACCAGCACCACCATGCAGAGCAACTGCTCCCTGGTTGTCACCACCAGAGAAACTCTCCAAGTCCTCTACACAGCACTGACAAACTCCACAGCTGCATTGCACCCACCCCCTCCCTGCCCTCTCACCTCTTCAGATTATCATTTTTCACTAATTCCAGCAATCTTCTCCGTGGTTTTTGTTCTGGGCTTGGTTGGCAACAGCGTGGTGGTTTTGGTGCTTTCTTGTCACAGCGGCCCCAAAACAGTGGCTAATATCTACATTTTCAACCTGGCCGTGGCGGATTTGCTGTGCCTTGCCACCCTTCCCTTCTGGGCCACCTACTACTCGCAAGGGTACAACTGGCTCTTTGGGTCTCTCATGTGCAAAATCTCCAGCTCTGTCCTGTGCTTGAACATGTTTGCAAGTATCTTTTTCATCACGTGCATGAGCGTGGATCGGTACCACGCCATCGTCCATCCTCTTCGCTCTCAGGGAAGAACTTCACAACAGGCTTATTTTATAGCCCTGGTTGTGTGGGGCCTTGCCTGTTTGTCCTCCCTCCCCACTTTTTATTTTCGTGAAACTCACTACGTTGAAAACCTGGGGGTCAATGCTTGCATCATGGCCTTTCCTCACGAGAGTTATGAAGAATGGTCTGTGGCAACAGCCTTCCTGAAAAATGCGCTCGGCTTCTTCATCCCCTTGACAGTCATCACCACCTGCTACGTCTGGATCAGGAGGCACTTGCTTAAAGCACAGAAGTTTGGGAAAACCAAGCAGAAGAGGGACAAAGTCCTAAAGCTAGTGGCTGCTGTTGTCGTGGCCTTCTTAATCTCCTGGTTCCCGTTCCACATCCTGACATTTTTGGATGCCTTGGCTCACATGAACATCATTAATGACTGCGGCGTGACCGGGCTCATCGACACAGCTCTGCCATTTGGCATCTGCTTGGCATTCACCAACAGCTGCACCAACCCTTTGCTCTACTGCTTCATTGGGAACCAGTTCCAGGAGAAACTCCATCGCTTGTTCAAGCGCCGGGTTCACCAGTTCAACAGCCGTGGAGAGAACTCTTCTTTGAGGAAAGGGAGCTGCTTCAGAGATGCTGAGACCCCCGTGGGCAGGGAAGAGGGACCTGAGTCCTTGCTGTAGGCACTGGGGCACTATGTGGGGTGATGGCAGTGCAGCTGGCTGTCCCTGCAGTGGGGACACTCCTCTGTCCCCTTTCCTTGGAGTAGTGCCCACCCGTTTGCTCTTTGGAGAAGCTGTTTTTCTCATACATGTGGATTGTATTCTTCCTTCTGCAGTGAGCACTTTACAGAGAGGGAAGATTCTGGCAAATAAATATACTGATGACATTTTAAATATCAGCTTGTGCATGTCTGAGGTCAGGTGAATGTTTACTGTGACATGAAAAGACAATAGATACCAAAAGGACCATTGCCCCTTAACTACTTGTGTAGGTGCTGAGTATTACACCCTAAGCTGATCTTCTCAAAGAGATTCTCACTAGAGCATATGTGAACAAACCAGTGCAGGTGTTTCTGTACCTATTTGTAAGAAAATATTTTGACCTTTATTTTGTGGGTCCATATATATATATATAAAATTTTTTAAAAATAGATGGCTAGAGGTGTTGTATGTAAAATGCAACAAATACACCTCCTGGTGGCTGAGGCCTGAGACCCTGAGAACAGGTGGAGACGTGGTCCTGCTAACTGCTGGAGGCAGGAGAGTGTTCCTGGGGAAAAGTACAACCACAGACATCTTTTTATACCTTTTTCCTAGCAGGTGACAGGTTTGCAGGGCAGGTGGTCCTTTGCTTTGGTTCAGTGTGGTCACTTCTCACAGTAACACCCCAGGAACTGAACACACCACGTCCCACAGCTCTGTGAGCAGGCTGGGTCCCACACACTGTCCAGCAGCCTTTGGGCAAGGACTTCCTGATGGTCTAGAATTTGCATTTAAAATGTTGTTTACTGCTGTAATTTTGAGGTGATATGTACAGAAAGCCAAAGTCACTGTCTTGGCACCCAGAAGCAAAACTGTGGCGTGACTTCAAAGACTTAAATCTCAGTATGGGAGTTTACTCACTTGTAAATAAAAGAAAGGGGGGAGGGGAGAGAATTTGGCAAATATTGATTCTATTTTGAGGTCATTTTTGATGGTTATTTTGAATTTTCCTTTCCAAAGGGGTATTTGGCTTCTCAGAAAGGATGGAGTTTGATATGCTCAATGTAGAAGAGGGATCTATTAGCACTTTCTCAATTGCCAGCAGGTTGTCCCCAGGGTGGGTGACCCGGGGTGACTGAGAGATCACTTGCTTCAGGGAACTCTTGCTGACAAGGTTTGTCTTAGCAGTTTTGCATTAGAAATTATACTTGTCAGGTGGGTAATCAGAAGGCTGGCCTCCCTGGAAATCCCAGCACTGGCTGGTGCCTGGAAGCCATGGTAACTTGGTGCAGGAACTGTCCTTCACTGTTAGGATGGGTCTAAGTTTCTTTACTGGTGCCCATGAAAATGGGATAATCCAAGAAATATGCCAGTCTCAGGGAGGTGCCAGATGAAAAGTTTGTGCAGAACTTGGCAAAATGGGGGCTTGATCACAAGTAACCACTTCTCCCTGTCCTGGTCTGGTGTTCTGTAATGGGTATGTAGCTGGAGAGATGCTTGTCCCAGAAAGTGGAAGAACAGCTAATGTGTCTTCCTTGGAATGTTGTGGTTTTTTGTTGAAAATGTTCTGAGGAACTGAAAATGTCTGGGGCATTGGGGATTTGTAGAAGGAAAAACTGTGACTTGCTTAGTGGGGAGCACAACACAGTCAAGCTACAGCAAAACATCATGCTAAGAAAATTAGCAGGTGTTCAAAGCAGCCAAGGTCAGAGGTTGTGGAGGCTTTTTACCTTTGCTGCAATACAGGTCAGTCAAGAACATGACTGTGCCATTAATTGACATCTTTGTAGTCTCAAAACAAAAGCTGAGCTCCCCCATCTGCCCCCAGCAGCACCAGCTTCAGCTGTGCCCACCCTGAGCAAAGCACAGACTGCACCTTCCCTGCACCTCAGTTTGGACCTGCTCAAAAGGAGGAGTTTTCAACAAGTTTCATGTCTTTGGCCTGGTGTGCAGACCTATCCAGACAGGGAAATCCTACAGGAACATGAAATCTGGCTTCAGTTGCATGTACACCTGTGAGAGGCTGGAGAAGATGGGGACAAAGCTTTCCCCAGGAGAGAGCAGCAACACAGCGTCTCCCACTGCTGCAGCTGGAGGGCAGGGATTCCTGAGCCCTTGCTGGGCCTGAGGCAGCTGCTCAGTGGGACCCTCCTAGAAACAGGGAGCCAAAAAGAGTATTAAATGGGAGGCAAAACTGAGAAGGGAGGAAAATCCCTTCCTTCAAAAAATAAGATTACCTTGAAGGTCATATTCTGCAAGAGTGACAAACCCAGTGACCCCATGAGCAGTGTGACATTTCTGCCTGCCAGGTCTGTCTTGTACTTCTAATAGGTCATGAACCTGAGCAGGGTGGTTAAACAAACAGCCAAAACCTCTGTCTGCAGAGGAACCTGAGATGAAAGTGGGGGAGGTGCTGACTCTGGGGGTTTGCTTTATTTTTAGAGCAAATTGACTAATGGTGAGCTCTATGAATTGCTTCCATCGTGCTCAGGTTTCTCATGGGATTTTCCAGCTATTTTTGATGGGAAACGTGGGGGGTTTCATGGTTCCAGCATGCTGGGTTTATCTCTTCAGGATTTTCCACAAAGGAATGCAGATAAAAAATTGAGCAGTTTTTTTCCCTTGCAAACTTAGAAGCGACTTTTTTATTTCACATTCCTTTCAGGAGAGCATTTCCCTTCAGGAAAGTCCACCCAAGGCAGGAGCCCTACAGCCCTTTGGTGGAGTGCACAGGCCTGGGAGCCCACCCCAACCAGCCTTGTCATCCTGTAGCCCCCAGACCTGACCATGAGATTGTGCCTGAGAGAGATACACTCAGTTTTGACAGGGCCATTGGGAATGTGTGTGGTTGCTCAGCTTCTTGCTCTCTCTGCAAGTGCAGGGACCTTCATTTCTGAGCAGCAGATGGATTTTGGCTGGGGCTGCACCCCCTTTGCCTTGGTGCAGTTGGTGGCAGCAGAGAAGAAGCCTGTGGTGAAGGAGGTGGAAATACTCATGGATTTGGAGTCAAAGCTGAGAGTGGTAGCAGGGCTTTATTTATTATTTTTGGACAAGGGAAAGTCCTGGAACACTTCTGGGCCTGTCAGTGAGTCTCCAAACAGGGATGGAAAATGGTTTCCTACAAGGGTCAGTTGGTCTCTGCCATGTTTGTGCAGCAAATCCTCTTTGCAGCTTCCTTTTCTATCTGTAGTTGATCATTCTGAGCTGAAATGAATTGCAGAAGGAGTCTCAGCCCAAACTGAGACTTGGTCCAGTTTGGTCAGCTTCATCCTGAGCTGACCTGAATACACAACTTCAATATTTGAAGCAGAGAAAGTCACTGGCATTTGTTAATGTGAGCTAGTCCTGGGTGGTGAGCTAAATGCTTTGTTTATGCAAGATATACAGTAAGAAGTGTTTGGTACAGCATGTTCTCCCTGAGAAATCAACACAGCCTGAGCCTATGCTGGCAGTCACACAGCACACTTGTCCCATTCCTCAGACCAGATTTTGGGCAGGAATATCATCTTGCCACCCTGCAGCCTAATGCCACGACTTGGCTGCTCTTCACAACACATCCCCTTGTCCTGGCAGAAAGACAAGGAGGTGCCATGGAGCAAGTGAACTGCTCGTGTTTCCCCATGAAAATGAGGACCTCTGGATACTGCATGTGAGTGGTCCTGGCAGGAAACCTGAAGCGTGGGGGTTGAGACAGTCTGGCAGCCTTTCCTCCATGCTGGCAGATTCGTTTGACTCTGGGGGTTTGCTTTATTTTTAGAGCAAATTGACTAATGGTGAGCTCTATGAATTGCTTCCATCGTGCTCAGGTTTCTCATGGGATTTTCCAGCTATTTTTGATGGGAAACGTGGGGGGTTTCATGGTTCCAGCATGCTGGGTTTATCTCTTCAGGATTTTCCACAAAGGAATGCAGATAAAAAATTGAGCAGTTTTTTTCCCTTGCAAACTTAGAAGCGACTTTTTTATTTCACATTCCTTTCAGGAGAGCATTTCCCTTCAGGAAAGTCCACCCAAGGCAGGAGCCCTACAGCCCTTTGGTGGAGTGCACAGGCCTGGGAGCCCACCCCAACCAGCCTTGTCATCCTGTAGCCCCCAGACCTGACCATGAGATTGTGCCTGAGAGAGATACACTCAGTTTTGACAGGGCCATTGGGAATGTGTGTGGTTGCTCAGCTTCTTGCTCTCTCTGCAAGTGCAGGGACCTTCATTTCTGAGCAGCAGATGGATTTTGGCTGGGGCTGCACCCCCTTTGCCTTGGTGCAGTTGGTGGCAGCAGAGAAGAAGCCTGTGGTGAAGGAGGTGGAAATACTCATGGATTTGGAGTCAAAGCTGAGAGTGGTAGCAGGGCTTTATTTATTATTTTTGGACAAGGGAAAGTCCTGGAACACTTCTGGGCCTGTCAGTGAGTCTCCAAACAGGGATGGAAAATGGTTTCCTACAAGGGTCAGTTGGTCTCTGCCATGTTTGTGCAGCAAATCCTCTTTGCAGCTTCCTTTTCTATCTGTAGTTGATCATTCTGAGCTGAAATGAATTGCAGAAGGAGTCTCAGCCCAAACTGAACATCCTGAGCTGACCTGAATACACAACTTCAATATTTGAAGCAGAGAAAGTCACTGGCATTTGTTAATGTGAGCTAGTCCTGGGTGGTGAGCTAAATGCTTTGTTTATGCAAGATATACAGTAAGAAGTGTTTGGTACAGCATGTTCTCCCTGAGAAATCAACACAGCCTGAGCCTATGCTGGCAGTCACACAGCACACTTGTCCCATTCCTCAGACCAGATTTTGGGCAGGAATATCATCTTGCCACCCTGCAGCCTAATGCCACGACTTGGCTGCTCTTCACAACACATCCCCTTGTCCTGGCAGAAAGACAAGGAGGTGCCATGGAGCAAGTGAACTACTCGTGTTTCCCCATGAAAATGAGGACCTCTGGATACTGCATGTGAGTGGTCCTGGCAGGAAACCTGAAGCGTGGGGGTT